CTATTACCGAGCTCCTGGAATCACAGCTGGGCTTCACCCCAAAAGGCTTCACTGAGAGGTTTCACCAAATACCGGGAAGGCAGGAGACCTGCCCTCAGTGGAGGGCTCAGGAGCCAGTGATTCAAGGCGCACTCTCTTGGGGTGGTGTCTGCTCCAAGCCTGGCCAGGCCGGGGCAGGTGTATGCTGTCAGCTTCATCTCCTGTGTTCATCGCTCCAAGTCTGGTTGACATTGGATACTCCCAACCTAGGGAGACGTCTGCAGGGAGTGGGTAACAGAGTGACCCCTCCTCAAGGCCCCTCTCATCTCCTGGAACCCATGTTCAGCACAGGAGCAGCGGGGGGCTCCCAGTCCAGGCTAACGGGGTGTGGCTCTTTCTGCCATGGAGTGCGTTCATAATGCCTGGCTCCCTAGGAAGCGAAGGAAGGGCTCTGCTGGAAGCTGAAAGGTGGCTAAGAAGGACAGAATAGAAAAAAAAAGAGTGACACAGGCAGCCTGAAGAGAGAGGCTGAGAAGAAGGAAAGAGCCCTGGAGAAGTGGAGAAAGGCTTCCCTGAAGCGAGGGCAGGGATGAAGACAGCCGGAGGGATGGCCAGTGTACAGGACTCCCTACGGGACGGGAATGGGGCTGCTAGTCTGAGGGAGGATGACTGCACGGAGAGAGCCCTGGGGTGCTGGATGACAAAGGCTACCCCCGACGTAAGCCGGATGATCAGCAGATAAGATGGGGCCAGTGGCATAGATTCCAGGGTGAAGGCCAGGAGCCGCCGTACAAACTGGAGTGTGCAACGGAGTGAAGAGTTGGAACTGGAGCTGCAGTAGCACGGCGGGCTATCTCAGGGGAGAAGGGCGAGGGTATTTGGTGAGGAGCCCTGGAGTTCAGAAGCCTGTACAGAAAGAGGAGAGTCTTGGCTTGTGGGGTGTCGCCCCCTTGACTTCGGAGTGGACTCCTGTTGCCGAGCTCCATGAGAAGGGGGCTGCAGAGGTGTGCTACTCCAGGGTGGAATGACTGCGCGTGAAAAGCCGCTGAAGCTTACAGCCCACGGGATGGGAGAGTAATGGAGAACGTAGAGGCAAGTACTACAAGAACGTAGAGAACAGTGGAGACTGGAAGGAACGACGACAAATCGATGCCTAAGTGGTGCCTCTGGGATACAGAGCAATGGAATAGTTGAAATCAGAATTGCTCGTTAGGTCGGATCACCCCAACCAGGTCTGGTCAGAGCGGCGGCAAACCCTGGCGTGAGCCCTCTTGTGAATGCGATGGTTTGCCATGGCAACTGTGAGTCAAGACATTCTGCGGGGCTGTGGTCGTAACACCCAGCACTGCAAGGCAGCAATGTTAACCCATGCACCACCATGCCAACCACATACCACAAAGTTCATTATCTACTAGAGAAATTACTTTTTGTGCAAAAGAGCAGCACAAGAGAAGTCCCTTCCATTTCTGCACAAGGAAGTAATCTGATCTACAGGATTTGCACCACTGTTAATCTAAAACGTTTGCAGCACCTAGTGACCAGCAAAAGAAATCGGCCAGGTGATTACACAACCCGAATTTGTGTTCTTTACCCGTTTTGGTTGAGAAATGTATGTTCCATATAAATAATTATACATGTACATATATATTGGGGCTATAGAGTTTATTGGAAAAAAACTTCAGTTTTATTGAATAAATTTCAAATTAGAACAATTAATACAAAAATGAAAAATTGATTTAAATCAAAGTTATTTAAAATGCAAAAATGCATTCACATCAAGCCGTGTCATTTCTACTTGTCAGAGAAACGGAGAAAAACAACAGAACATGTGCTCCTTTTGAGTGTGACGATATTCTACTGTTGTTAAAGTCAATGCTACTTTGCATGGGCCAATATTATTGCATATACAGTACAAAGCAATATACAGTATTAATATAGTAGGCGACATTAGCCTACTGTATTGATGAGCAGCCATATCACCCTGCAACTCACAACTGGCAACCCACTGAAGCTAAGCAGGTGTGAGCCTGGTCAGTACCTGGATGGGAGACCTCCTATGAAAAACTAAGGTTGCTGCTGGAAGAGGTGTTAGTGGGGCCAGTCACCCTGCGGTCCGCGTGGGTCCAAATGCCCCAAAATAGTGACGGGGACACTATACTGTAAACAGGCGCCGTCCTTCGGATGAGACGTAAAATCGTGGTCCTGACTCTCTGTCATCATCAAAATTCCAAGGGTGTTTCTTGAAAAGAGTAGGGGTGAAACCCTGGCCAAATTTCCCATTGGCCCTTACCAATCATGTCCTCCTAGTAATCCCCCTCTATGAATTGGCTACATTAGTCTGCTCTCCTCCCCACTGATAGCTGATGTGTGGTGAGCGTTCTGGCACACTATGGCTGCCATCGCATCATCCAGGTGGATGCTGCACATTGGTGGTGGTGAAGGGGAGACCCCATTACCTGTAAAGTGCTTTGAGTGGCGTGTCCAGAAAAGTGCTATATAAGTGTAATAATTAATTAATTGTTCACAAATTAACTACTGTGTTTTAAATGTGTTCTCGTATAAACGAGATACTATCTCGCATAAACGAGTTTTTTTCTTGATGGCAGCAATGCGCTTCCCTAAAATGGTATTGCGTTAAAACGCGATCATTCATTTGTGAACCATATTACCTACTACTTTAATATTTTGCAATATATATGCAATCATAAAATAAAGTTGCATTGCCTCAGAAAAACTTAATCTCAAAATAATCTAAAGGAGCTCGTGTACTGTCTTTTGTATACATGAAGTTGAACACCCTGTCAGTGAGCATTCCTGGGTTAAAAGCATGTCGTTTTCACCACTGTATTTGTTTTTATGAATAGAAATACAGTACATTTGATTAAAAGCGAAATTTCTTCATCTTGTGACGTGAGAAATAGGTGTTTATTTTATAAAAAGACCTTCATCATAAAAATCCAGATCCACTAGAGGGCAGTGAAACACTTTTTACGTTACTTAACCTTGTACAGTACGTGCTTTGTAAAATAAATTCTCCACGATGTTGCAACCATGACAAAAATAAACATAAAAAATAAAGGATTATTGTAGTGTAGCGCTGGCCTGAACGTGTTTTTGTAACCACGGTGTTTTATAATTTGGAATTGGAGGCGTAATTACTCTATGCTTCCTTCAAAAGATTTTTCTTCTCACTACCAGTGTTGTGTAAATTGTATGTCTAATTTTTAAAACTACAGTCGCTCAAAACGTATCTGAATATGAATTTAATTTTGAGAATAATAATCTCACGATCACAATGCTGGTTTACTCGTAGCTTTCTCTTTTCAAAATGACATGAATGGCCAGAGTTGTGTTAATGATCTGCCACTCCTCTCAAAGAACGACCTGTGTTCCAGGGTCTAGTTACCCACAAATAAATTCACTCCGTATTTCCTCAAGGCAGTCACATACTGTACTTTTTTAGGACACGAGATATATAAACACGGTGCAAGTAAACAGCTGATATTTTAGACATTACCAAAAATGCAGCTTTCTCTTCTTTAGGCAAAGAAAACGTAGTTGTTTGCAGCTCAGCAAAATATAACCAGACTTTCCTTTCCTAAAAGACTATACTTTTCTTAATATGCTAGATATTTTCCTGATGGTTTTATCTGAGTGTTTCAGAAGATTACCCAGCAGTGAAAAGCACTTGGGTGTTTTCAGTATTGTGAGAATTTGCATCTCTCAAGGAGGTCTCAGATAAATGTTTTATGTTTTAGTAATTATATTAGGATCCTCATTTCCTTAATCTGTGTTATGGCACTTCTGATATGAAAGCACAAAACAGAAATATACCAAGTTTTCTGTTTCGACAAACTCAACAGTGTGATGGAATTGGGGTTAGACGGGACACTGTAGTTGTGCTCTTGAGCAAGATACTTCACTTAGAATGTAAAGCACAACACACAACTCTTACTACTATATTTTGAGACTGATGGTTTTCATTCAAACTGAGAACATGAATGCCCAGCTGGAACAATTGAACACAGTTCACATGTCTTTAACTGATATGATGTTCAGCCCATGGGAGTACAGTCTCTGAGTCCTACCCTACAGGCCATTAATACAGAATTACTTTACTATGGTGCCCAATAAAACCTACAGCTGACAATGAAAAATAATCCTTGGTACAGCAGGACAATGTCATGTTGCTGTTGCTTACTGGAGCAGGAATCCATGACTCCAATGCCTAATGATTTCATAACAACCTGAGCTGGTTACTTAACTCATAAATTGATGATTTTGTTCTGTTAGTTTTCTTTTGTTGCACTGGTAGGAGTTTTTACTCAACTACTAAGTAACTGGAAAGCTGCATGTTGTAGGGAGCTGTGTTATTCTTTTAAATCAACTCCAATTAATCAATTTAATTACTAGTGCAGTTTAGGGTTCAATGACGTGAGAATTTGCCGATTGGAAAAGCAGCATTTTTTTCTGGAATGACAAGATCCAGGACAGGGAAAGCCTGGACTTATCGCGGAAGCCAGAGGCTATCCGTGGAGAGACCGGCAGAACAGGAAGACCCTATGCGTAGCGGGTGGAACGGAGCATACGTGGGGGTTCGCTCCGGGCTCCTGGTATCGGGCGGAGTCGGGGACGAGACATAAGACCTCAGGTAGGAAAGGTGAGACGAGCCTCTCGACAACCGATCCCAATGGCGAACAGTAGGGAAAGGCAGACCCGGAAATGTACAGCCCCAAACAACAAGACACACCGGAAGGACGAGTAAGCACAGGGACAATAGGAACAGGACAGAGAGGGAGCGCCCTCTAGATGTAGAAGGCGTGATAGGACTGGCTCCTTCCAAAGACTTTCAGATCAGAGGCGTCTAGTCCTGGTCCGGCGTGTCTGTGGGTTTTCATTACAGATATTAAGGACCTGCATCAACTTGGCCTTAACTGGACAAGTTTCTGTTTCCAAGAGGAGGCCTTTGGGAGCAAAGCTGCAGTAAAATCAAGACAAAGAAGCACCTGTCCATGACACTCTTTATTTTGTATAATCTTTATTACCTTTATTGGCTGCATTCACAGTTTTTCAAAGGAAGATACTTGCACACAACTATGATCAAAGAGGGCTACAGGTTAGTAAAAATCAGTTTTGGTCTGATTAAAAAAAGTGTTCTAAAGAGTCTAACAACTTTTAGTGTGGGTTTCATGAGGCTTGATATCGAAATGCCTTTCATAGTACAATTCTTATGCCATTCTCTTGTCACATGATGCCTTTAAAAAAGTTAGATAAATCATAAATATAGCTAAAAAGATCAACCAAGTATAATCTCTTACCCTTCTACCCAAGCTGTCACTTGCAGGATTCCTGGATTTTACAAATGTTAAGATTCAAGACTGACAGAGGTCACTGAATTAGTAGAGGTTTTCACTGGCACATTCTTTGACTGGGCTGTGTTGAGGCAGTCTGCAGTTCTCTCAGTCTGCTCTGTACTACGGATCACTGCCATTACTTGTTCTGCAACCCTTATACTGCTGGGTGTCCATACCCTGAGAAGAGCTGTTGCAAAATAATTTGCTACTCATGTCTGTACCATGTGATTAACAGTGAGCTGTTGATATTGCTTCCTTCTTTTCAACTACAAACCCAATGGAGTTCACAGTTGAAGAAGTGCTCTTGTTCTCCCTTTAAATGTACAAGTCAGCTACTTTTTAGACGTTTCAGCTCTGGGCTCTACCAAGTGCTGTACTGTAGACTAGACAACAGTTTATCCCAATATTTCCTACAGACAACATAAATATTCCCCAATAGCAAATGAGCGCTGAAGGCAAGGCATCAGTGATTTAACAATAAATAATAATGCAGATATTTTCTTAAATAAATAACATTTTCCTATATAGACAGAATGAAATGATACATATCTGAGGACCCTTGGCCATGCTGACTGACAGGGGTGTTTTGTTTTGCTTTGTGTTAGCAGTAATATCAAAATTAACATTAAAATTGGTCATGGCACACAATTTAGTACAGCTGTTGAACACACAATCGACCATTTATGCAAGCTTACTTCTCTATTTGAAATGACTCAGGTCTTGGTTAATCAGGAAGCTAGCCTCTTTTCCTGGTTTAGTTATGGCTCTGAGATCAGCTGAAGACAGCAGACACAAATGACAGTGTTGCTTTTCTGCTGCACTTGAAATGTTCATGACTTTTTATGGGGTATGCCTCTCTGAGCAGTCCACTGCATTAACTCAGGAAGACATTTTAGTAAGCATATATAACACAATTACATTTACTGTTTGTCACCACTTTCCAGATACCGTCTGTTTTTCTCTTTGCTCAACTGTAAAAAATAAGTACACAGAACTTTAATTCTCCCAGAGAAATCTGTGATTTGTGATGGTCACACTGTCTAGGGAAACATTTAGGAAAATCATTTTCAAAGCGTTTTAAGAAACATTTGAAAAAAGCAGCAATATAACATTGTAACATATTTTGCATTTTTCCTCTCTTAGTAAAGGTTTCCTTCCATTATACAATGTTTTTTCATTAAAAAATAGGCACTATGTATTTCAAATGTATTTCAGGCATTTGGACATGGTGAATGTGTTGTTTTATCTCATATTTCTTTAAATGAATAAGTATGGATTGTATTAGAGTGGTCTATGGTAGCCCGCTGTTGCAATTGCTATGTTATGGGGGTATTCTGGAAAATAAGTGCAGCTGCTTTATTTAATATTTCTACACAGGGACATTTGGAGATGAAAGTTAAGGTGATGAGGAAAAGGAGAGACAATCCCATCAGAGTCTCCATGCACACCTTAGCAACACAGTTGGAATTTGCAGTGTATGAAAAGCATTCTTGAAAAATGAAAAATGTGTTGTGTCTAATGTATCACTCGGTCAGTTCACCTTAGTAAAAGAGCTGTGAGGTACAGGAAGATATTTTGCCCCTTTCCTTTAAAAAACATTTTAGAAATTAAATATCAGGTGTCCATTCTGGTGGCGTTCTCATTTCCTAAAATTATCCAGTTGAAAACACTTGGAAGCATGTATTAAGTCACAGATAGCAGGAGTCTTTGATATGACATGTTTTGGCCGAGCAGATTCATCTCCAGTTATATATCTTTTAAGAAGTGGAAGTGCATTAAGTTAAAAGAATACAAATAGGTTGAACAAACCGTTAAAAGCATTTTAAAATATTTTTTTACCGTAGGGAAAGGTGTTTTCTGTGATGAGGTCTTTTTTATGGAGTCTGGCTTTTCAGTGTTTTGTGCTGATTAAGCAGATTTTTGTCAGAATTACATGGTGTTTGTGCAGGGAGAAAAAAATAGATTCAGCCGGCAGTTGTTTCCAGCTCTAATAGTTAGCAATATAAATGAGAAAAGGTCTATTCCGAGTGGAAAGATAGATAATATTATATAAATAGACACACATATTTATCTAATATTTATATAATGTGTGTGTGTTGGTCACTTAACTCTTGTATTCTTATAAACTATGACCAAAGCATACTATTGTAATTTTAGTTTCCATAATTTAATAATGGAAATGTGTAATATGGAATGATCTTCTCCTATTTACAGTAGTACAGAAGGAGTACTCAATTTAATTTATTCAGTTGTAAACTGTTCAATAAATGTAAAGGTGGAGTTAGAAATCCATGAGACATAAGCACTAGTTGTTTTGACTGTGAAACAGTAATCCCCTGCTTTTTCATCTTCAGTATTCTGTAAACACATTTTACTCACAACAGACTCAAAATGTAAACATCAGACATCTGTGATTTTTTTTTAAAAAAATCTTCTGATAGAAAAGGAGGCAATTTTAAAAACAGCACATTAGCTCTTAAATTAAAAACTGTTTGGGTCTTATACTCTACCGCTGTCCTGACATTTTAGCTGACCCAATTGTATTCTTGTCAATGAAAGTGTTACCCAAAAAATGCTACTGAAGTAATCTTATTAAAAAGGATTCAAGTTTTCTTATGAGCTTGCGCTTTTCCCCTTTTTTTTAAACGAGACTGATTTTGTGTTCTTGGAAAATATTGGACCTAGCTGGTGCTTGAATTCATTTTGGTAAATTGAGATCTGTTTTACAATAAACGTACTATCAATTTTCTCTGCCTGCTGCATTGTCAGGCTCATACTGTTAAATCATCTGACCTGGCCCTGCTGCTTGCTTTACTCAGTCTGCTCAGGGGTCGGGTGTCTTCTATTGTCTCAGTGGCTTCTGCAGGCGCCTCCTCTAGAACTTCCTCCTCTGGCTCTGTAGTCTGACCGTACGAGGGTAAAGTCTCATCGTAGACCTTTGAGATGTCTTCCAATGGGCCCACGTCGTTGACCTTCTCTTCGAAAGTTTCAAAAGGCGTGGGGAGGCATCTGGCTTCTACCCCCACTTCTGTGAGGGGGTAGAAGTGGGAGACTGGTTTCTCTTCCTCCAGCAGCTTGTACCCCTTGGCTTTCTGGATAGAGGAGACGGTGACGGAGTGCAAGGGTTTCTCGGCACCCAGGTCCCCCTGCAGCTGGGGAGGCTTCCTGAAGGCGAAGCGGATCTTCTTCAGGCCCAGATGACTGAGCTCCACAATGTTGAGAAAGAGCGAGACGGAGGCCACCGCCAACATGAAGAGGATGAAGATGGTCTTTTCGGTGGGCCGGGAAACAAAGCAGTCGACTGTGTTGGGGCAGGGCCATCGCTTGCACTGGTACAGAGGGAGGATGCGGAAGCCGTAGAGGAAGTACTGGCCCACCACAAAGCCCACCTCGAAGATGGTTTTGAAGATGATGTGGCAGATGTAGGTCCTCAGCAGGGTGCCCTCCAGGCGGAACTTCTTGCTGCCTTTGGTGCTGGTCTCCTTGGTGGTCCTCACGCTGCCTTGGTCAGGAGCGAGAGGCAGCCTCTCCTCGTTCATCTCCGCCTCCTCCCTCTCCTTCCTCTTCTCTTCCATCCGGACGTGGTGCACGGCGTGGCCCACGTACACCAGCGAGGGCGTGGAGACGAAGATGATCTGGAGGACCCAGAGTCTGATGTGGGAGAGGGGGAAGGCTTCGTCGTAGCAGACATTCTCGCAACCGGGCTGCTGGGTGTTGCAAACGAAATCCGACTGTTCGTCTCCCCACACGAATTCAGCTGCCGTGCCAAGGATTAAAATCCGAAAAATGAAGAGCACGGTTAGCCATACCCTTCCTATCACAGTGGAATGTTCATTTACTTCTTCTAAAATGTTTCCCAAGAAGCTCCAGTCACCCATTTTCGATCTTCAGTCCTGTCAGGGGGATGAGAAGAACAAGATATTAAAATGGCGTTACAGAAACTCAAATTCCTTTCTACAAACTCATTCAGATTCATTTACAACCAGAAAAATCATTCCAATAGATACCAATCATGACGTTGAAGTCCACAGAGCTACAGGACAACATTTGCTTCAGATGAATTTGTTTTTGATCTCGGCTACTTACTGCAAGGTTGAACCGAAAAACCACGCAGCCTGTGGTGGCCTTTCTATCTGAAAAAGTGGAAGAAAACAAACTTATCACAAAGTATTTCCAGTAGTCGTTTAACACAGTAAAGCTAAAAACGGTGTTGACAGGAGCTCCCGTTAGTATCCAGCTGATATAGTGGTATAGTTTAGTGCTTTCAGTTGGGCAACTTGCCACAGAAAAGGCTTCAGTGCAGTTGCGTTCCTTCTCTTGGCACTCTTGGTGGAAAGTGAACTTTTTTCTCTCTCTTTCCCACCTAAAGCCCTGGCCTTGTCGCACGACTGAGCAGACGTGACTGAATCGGGTCTGATGGTTAGTTTTTAGTTTCCTGCAATATTTAAGCTCAGAGCCAGACGGTCTTTATTCGGTGGGCGACGATTGGTGACGCAGAAAACAATAGGATCAACAAACAAATGGGCCTACAGTATATTGGATGGGACTGGTAGAGGTAACATGAATATGTACACCTAACCATTCAGAGACTCAAGCGCCTTCAATGTGTGAAGCAGGAGGTTCTACCAGCTAAGCTAAAATGATCCCAGTGTGTTCAGAAACACACTTTTTAAACGACGGCCTAAGTATCTAATGTTGTACTAAAATTGCCAATAATAGCAAAAGGCAAAACAAAAATAAGAGAGATGTGTGACTTTTATAGCCCAAACTCATTTTATGTGTTCATTTTCATGTTTCCCCCATTCTAAAGTTTATTTACAGCCAAAGTCAGTTGCCTGTGTTGGTAATTTATGAAAGAACAAAGGAAGGATTAGATGTGTTGCTTACATTGTGTTTTAAGACAGAGAGAATTGTTTTTATTATTTCTCTGGCCACAAATGTACTAAACTAGTTGTCCAACTTTTATAACAGATGCCAACTGTCCTGTTAAGATCCCAACCACATGTGAGTTGAGTTTTACTGCATAAACTCAACTGTTGAACAATGAAAAAAACAGGTAGGGATTATTATGATTATTATTATTATTATTATTATTAAGTCTTTACAAGCTAATTGTGTATTTTTCAATCTTATGGTACTGGAAGAATTCTGATTGTGTGATGTTGTTGAATGTTGTTTGAAAGTACTTATGTTATATTGTATTATTGTTGTATATGCTGTATTTTCTTGAGCTCTTGATGTGCAAGACAAATTCCCTTATGGGCAATAAAGGGTAATTCAATTAAATGCCTGATTATTTTTTCCTTTTAACATTTATCTTGAGACTGTTATTAATATTCAATGAAGCGATAGTGTGTGACATAACTGAGTTGGGACACCTTAATGCTTGTGAGTCACCGTATGTTAAGCTACATCAATTGAAGATAATCCTTTGCAATGCTAATGGATTTAGGCCATGGTCAAGTGCAATTGACCAAAGTTCTTGCAAACCCCAGTTAGGCTGAGAAGTCAATTTAGCCAGCAGCAATGTTTGTAATGCAAGCTTTTTAAAGTGTTGCCTTAAGTGACCATCTTGTTGATTCAAGCAAATCTAAAATAGGAGCAGTGAGTCTCTAAAATTTCAGCCACCTGATCTCAGCCTCAGACAGTACAGTAGATATTATCCAGTAGGCAGACATGGTGAGTGGAGCTAGCTCATGTGTAATGTGCTCCATCTGATAAGGGAAAATTCTATTCACAGCAAAATAAGTAATGTCATGTCATTTGCTAGACTGCTTCATACCATACGGTGTCGCAGGAAGCCGGAGCATTCCCAGCAAGCAACGAGCCAAAGGCAGGGTACACCCTGGACAGGGCGCTTGTCCATCGCAGGGCAAATGCAAGCCAGTCATACTGTACATGGGGACAATTTTGAGACCACGGTAAAGGCCGAGGGGGGATATTTGACCCGGACACTGGGATAACTCTCTACTCTTATTGAGAAATGCTCGGGGATCTTTAATGACCACTGAGAGTCAGGACCTCAGTCTCATCTGGATGACGGACAGCAAAATATATCACACACAAATGAAAGTATTAAAAAATACTAAATCTTTTTTTCTTTTTCTGACATTGTTAACAAAAGTCAAGTGGAAAATGTATATTTCATTTGTGACGACGGGTCTTTAGTGCATGATCTGTTTTTAAATATATTTACATTTGACTATTTTTGTATCACTTCTGTCAGGTGAGATAGATAAATATTTGCCAGTTTCTGTCACAATAAGACTGCTGAGTTGATCAGTCACAAACACCTGGCCATTTGTTTCCTGTCTTCATTGACAGGACATGGATTCTCGTTCTTATATAAAACTCACAAAGTAACAGAAGTACAGTTAAAAACCTTTGAAAGTTTCCAGAGAGTCTGCTCTGCGAGACTCTGTACATGAAGAAAGCAAACTCACACGTAGCAGTTGATGAGAAAAGGGAGTGTTTAACACACTAATTTGGACAGTCAGATCATGAGATGTACTTCTGATATTTACTTTTACTGAATGTATTTTCAGAGATAAAGTAGGTATCTCCACTCTTGCTTGTGATTGCCGAGTTTATTTACTTTCCCTACTTATTTTTTCCTGCACTATGCTCACTGCTGTCTATCCCCAGCTTTGATTGTGTGACAATTGTTAAATAGTGAACCTGTATGAGTTGTACACATACTGTCTTTTTGGACAGTTAATTTACATTCATGGTTTTTAAGTAAGGCTTAGATGTGGTTCTAGGAAGCTCAGAGACAAGACTGTTCTTGAGAAGTATCCAATCACGTTTGCACCTTCTCTTTACTTGCAAGGATATACTCCACTGTGTATTTCTTATACCTTCTTAGCCAAACATTTATTCAGTCATGCATCGTGTGGCTAATTTTCTCTTCTGTGTGGACTCTTCACCATCTTGTTCTTTTCTCATCAGGGTGTTACTAAGCTGGACCATCAGGAACAAAGAAAACAGTCCCTTTTTTGGACCAGTTTTCCAGTGTAAGCAAACTTCTCATTTGACTGATTTACTGTAGAGTGGACAGTTTGTGCAAAGCAGAATATCTGGACCAAGAACCAGTATTCACCTCCTGTTGGAAACAATAAGCTGGTTTAATGTTAATTTATGTCATGTCAGCTCTAAATGTTAATAGAAAAAGAGTATTTTAGCCTTTTCCAAGGGCTGAAATTATCCTTGCTACAATAACGACTATTAGACATGCCGCAGTGCTTGAGAAAACAGTGTTCCTGGAGTCTGTAGTGTCTCTCTGGAAGCTCTTATTCGTTACGGCCACAATTGTTTTGTCATTTTTATTGACACACTTTTGGTGAAACATCAAGAGTGAACTATGTGAATATAAGAAACAGACTTTTCCAGTCCGCCTGACTTTATTTGGAAACATGTCTGGTTTGAAAAATCTAATAAATGGATACTATGTGGAAGAGAATTTAAACCAAACACAAGATGCTCTTCTTTACCCAAAGGTTTGTGAGGTTTGTGAGAGAGAAACTGATACCCTGGTTTCTTTCAAGAAGCAGCTGGATGAGATCACTGGATCAATCAGCTGCTGATTAACAAATGAACTAGACAGGCCGAAACTCCTCTGGTTTGTGACTTTTCTTATGTTCTTTCCATTGGCAATCACTTGCCTTTGAAAGAGGAATGGAAAATGTTCATATCTGACCTCAGAAAACACGAGCAAAGCGGTAGCATAAAACTTTGCGATAACATAAAAATAGAGAAAAAAAAGATTTTCAAACCTCTGAAAGGCATTTATGTTGAAAACACTCTAAAATGGCTGTACAGTTCAAATGAATATTGAAAGCATCTTATCACATTTCTTTGAAACCTCTGATGTGTACTGTACATACCCTTAATAAAAGGATGTAATCAATCAAAATACCACTAAATGCACTGGTCTCAGAAAGTGAAGTATTTGTTATGAATTGTAAAAATGAAAGTGCTCTCTTGACTTTATCAACTTAACTTTAATATCGACTTAACATCTAGGTGTTGCTGAATTTGGGCTCTTTCCGAATGCTGTTCCTCACTTCCTACAGAGGAGTTTAGTTTTGTTGTAAATCAACAGGTGATTCAAATTTTTAGGATAAAATAATTCCAGACTGGTGAGTAAGTACACTTCACATAGTGCAGGTGTATGATTTCATATACGGGTATTTCAACATCCAAAAGGATTTTTCCATTTCTAAATTGGAAAAAACGTGAAGTAATAAACTTCTTTTTCACCAGATCAATTAATCGGGAATAAATACTTATTTTCCAATAACAAGCCGTAGAGTTACCAGCAGGGCTCAGGTGTATAGCACAGTAACAATGCTTAACCTGCGATTCGAACCCACAACCTCCTGGTAACAAGTTCAGAATTCTAACCACTGCTTCCTCCAATAAAAAGTAGGCAGACATACTGTACTGAAGCATAAAACATGTACATGTGAAATGTTAAGTATTGAATCATAGTATGAAATTATGTTATAAAAACAAGAAAGAATGTGCAATATTGCATTAGTTTTCCATATATGAATTGGTTAATGAGAGGAGGTCAAAATATGTAATTTATAAGAGGTGTAATTTAAGTATTACTGGTGTAATACTGGTGTAATTCTGTTTACTTTGCCTTTATATCCTTGAAAGGTGGAATCAGGAGTTTCTTTGGTCAGTTCTGCCCCTGCCTGCATTGTGAAATAGTTACTAATTAATATTCACTAATTGTACAACATACATATGCATTTCACATACAACAATTCCCCTTTGATGATATATACTGTACATTTTACAGACAGCTTTACTTTAAATTGTCTGACAAGGAACAAGAGAAATATCATAGTTTTTTTTAATGGCTCAGTTTGTATTGGATGCCAAATCCTGAAAATTTAAGTGTTTTGAGACTGACCTACAGTACAGGGGTGTGCTCTATAGATACAGTTTTGCAATTACCACCTTGTGAATTAAGGGTACCTGCTTTAACGATTTCTCAGCTTTACAAGACATCCTTTACATTAACTTCAAAGCAGCTGTTGCAATGATAATAATTTTATCATAACAATAAATTTCAAAAACTTTATTTTTACTTTACTTTATTGGCTGTAAGTGCATAAATCTG